GAGGAGAGGCATTTTGGTTTTGGGTGTTTTCATCCTTTTTGCACTGGTTTCTTCCCATCTTTGTGGATTTATCTACCTGTCTTCTTTGTAGTTGTTGGCTTTCAGATTGGGTCTCTGAGTGGACGTCCAGTTAGTTGATGAAGTTATTTCTTTCTGTTTCTTAGTTTTCCTTCTAACAGTCTGGCCCCTCTGTTGTAGGACTGCTGAGGTCCACTCCAGGCCCTCCTTGCCTGGGGATCACCTGCAGCGGCTGCAGAACAGTAAGGGTTGCTGCCAGTTTCTTCTTCTTCTATCTTTGTTTCAGAAGGATACCCGCCAGATGTCAGTCTGAGCTCTCCTTTATGAGGTGACTCTTTGCATATACGGGGCTCAGGGAGCTGCTTGAGGAGACTGTCCTTTATAGGAGCTCAAGTGCTGAGCTGTGAGCTCCGTTGTATATTCAGGGCTGCTGGGCAGCTACGTCTAGCTATGTTTTAAGTCTGCTGCACCAGAACTCATAAACCACCCCTCCGCCCCCCACTTTTTTTTCCCCAGGTGCTCTGTCCCGGGGAGTTAGGGCTTTATTTATGAGTTTTTGTTGTTCTGCTGCCTTTTTTCAGGGCTTCCCTGCCCAGCGAGGAGGCAGCCTGGTCACTGTCTGCCTGCAGAGGCTTTGCTCAGCTACCGTGGGCTCCGCCCTGCTGCTGTGTGAACTTCCCTGCAGTCCTGTTTATACGGGTGTAGTTAGAACTGCCTCAGCAATGGCGGCCCACATGTATAATGGCCAACCCTCTCTGTAATGGCGCGCTGCCTCAGCAATGGCAAACTACCTCTGTAGTGGTAGACTGCCTTGGTAATAGTGATGCCCCTCCCACACAGAGCTGGACTGTCCTAGATTCAGGTGTGCTTGCTGTGAAACTCTCAATCCAGAGCGTGTCTGATTGCTGTTTTTTTGTGGGCATGGGACCAACCGAGCCTGATCACCTGGCTCCCTGCCTCAGAGCCTTTTTTTTTTTTTTTTTTTTCAGTTGTACGTTTTTTTTTTTTTTTTTTTTTCAGTTGACTGTCTCCCAGGTGTTCCAGTCACCTGTTGAAAAGTTGCCGGGATCTGTGTGATTTCCTGTGTGGGGACCCACTGCGCCTGCTGAAACAGCAGTGTTGAGATTCCTGGGGCTTTTTTGCCCGAGAATCTCCTGGCCTGGCTCCCTGTTTCAGTCCCCTTTTTAATCAGATGAATGGGTGACTCTGCCTTCCCCGAGCTCCAGTCGCCAGCTAAAACAGTGCTTGGACCCATGTATTTTGTATGGAGAACCTGCACGTCTGGGCACCAGCAAAACAGTTGCACCAGCCAGGCTAGCCAAAACAGCTGCGCTGGCAACCCCTGGGGCTCCTCCGCCTGGGAATCTCCTGGTCTGTGGGCAATAAAAATCCGTCTGGAAGTGCGGTGTCCACTCACCCTCTGCGCTTTCACTGGGAGCTGCAATCCTGAGCTGCTCCCAGTTGGCTGTCTTGGATCCCTCCATATCTATGTACTTAACACCATACCATAAACTGCCCCTCTCCAACCTTTTAACTATTCTTTGTGAAACCAAGGTTAAGATTTAGAATTATTTTGGCAAGAGTGGGGGTTTTGAAGGAGATTGCCTAAAGTCGAGTTCAATAACAATGAGAACAAAGTAGCAACTTTTAAAGTGCTCTAAATATTTAATACTATTTTTGTGACTTACATCAACTTTTCTTGTAGATAAAATGTATTTTAAAAATGAAGATATGTAGGTTCAGTTATTGTGCGGAGACTACCTTTGACCACTGCTCCAAATTTTAATCTGTCCTTAAATGTAGCCTTAAGTATATTCTTTCAGTGTCAGGAAGATGCTGTTATTTCCTGTATTGTCTTTCAGTCTTAGCTTTGTTCTGTGATCTAGGAGTTATTTAATGTCAATATCAAAAAGGCAAGGAGCCAGATGGGGTAGTACTTTTTTTGCATGGCTCAGCTTGCTTTCAGGGGCTTGCTTACTCCTTGGTTTCTTCCTTACTCTCCTCATCTGTGTCACAGAAGAGTCATTCATACTTGCTTGGTTCACTTTTATATCTACCCATCATAAATGCTTATTTGGGTATCCACATATGCATGAGGCAGCTGGGAACTGTGAAAAGAACAGAGATTTGGAGTCAAAATTCAGTACAGTTACTTTGTTAGCCTTGTATTTTGAGCAAATGACTTTGGAGGATCACTTTCTTTATCTGCATAAGTAAATAGGAATAGTAATAACCTCATACATTGTAGTATTAAATGGGGCATTTTTATAGTGTTTTGTTGTTAGTTCTTTTCACTTTACTAAATCTAGACTAGTAAAGTCTCTGGTGGTTTCCTACTTTCTGTAATTTTGTATTTATTTCTTCTTGTTCTTGTTAGCAGCACCTAATTAATATGCTTTTTTTTTTTTTTTTTTTTTTTTTAGACATAGTTTCACTCTTGTTGTCTAGGCTGGAGTGCAGTGGCATAATCTCAGCTCACTGCAACATCCACCTCCTGGGTTCAAGCAGTTCTCCTGCTTCAGCCTCCTGAGTAGCTGGGATTATAGGCGCCTTCCACCATGCCTGGCTAATTTTTTGTATTTTTAGTGGAGACGGGGTTCCACCATGTTGGCCACGCTGGTCTTGAACTCCTGACCTCAGGTGATCCGCCAACCTTGGCGTCCGAAAGTGTGGGGATTACAAGTGTGAGCCACTACGCCTAGCCTAATATGCTGTTTTAGTACCTCTTGTTTTGGCCATTTAACTCTAAAAATTATTTAAGGTTTAAGCCTCAAATTTCTTTTCTATTTCCTTCATGCCCCCTCTGCCTTTGGGGACCTAGTTGCCTATCTCTGTGTGAATGATTATCACCTCTGTTTTTATACCCTAATACATATCTAATTTATTTTACATGAAGTTTTCTTGTGAACATTGTCATCACCCCAAATTGAACTTGCCTATAGCAAAATAACTCATATTTTTCCTAAAATTAGACTGACTTGTACAGTTCCTGAGTTTTTATGAGAGATACTAATATTTTTCTGGTTTCCTGGTCATCTTCATTCTTTCTTCATTACTGATTAAACATTGGGAAGGTAAACTAATCTTGATTTCTTTTTCTCCTGGTTCTTCCCATTTTGAGTTAGCAATGAAAATATGGTTTCTTAAATAAATACTTCTCATATTTTTCATTTTACATTTTCTTTTGTATTACCTGCTCTAATAGTTCTATATTTTGAAACTTTGACATAATGAATTTTTTTGACGTCAAGATTGTAATAAAAATTTTTCTTTATTTCTGTGTTTGAAAACTGTAGAAAAAAAAGCTGCTATAAACACACACTCTCGCACATGCGTCTGTGTATTATATATGGTCATGCCACGGATTTCAGTCAGTGACAGACTGCATATACGATGGTAGTTCTCTATAAGATTAAAATACTGTATTTTTATTGTACCATTCCTATGTTCAGATACACAAATACTTACCATTGTATTACAGTTGCCCACAGTATTTAGAACAGTAGTATGCTGATAGGCTTCTATCCTGGAAGCAGTAGGCTACAACATCTATGTTTGTGTAAGTCACTTTGTGATATTTGCACAACAACAAAATTGTCTAACAGCACATTTCTCAGAACATATCCACGTCATTAAGTGATGCATGACTGTATATTATATATGCATATATTTACGTATATGTATTTGTATGTATATATGTGTATATATATAGGCTGTGCTTCAAAAAAGTTTCCTGTAGGAGTGAGGTAATTGAAAACCAAGAACTTTGTGCTATGTGGAAAGCAGGGCTTCTTAGTACCATTATCATTTGAGTTGGGTAATTCTTTGTTATGGTGGGAGGTGTGTTTCCTGCATCTTGTAAGATGTTTTGTAGCATCCATCCCTGGTCTCTATTCCCTAAATATTAGTTAATATTTATTCCCTAAATATTAGTTAATATTTAGGGATTAGAGACCTTCCCATCACAAGTTATGAGAGCAAAAAATGTTTTCAGACATTGTCGAATGTCCCTTGGTGGGTATAAAATCTCTACGAGTTTAAAAGTACTGGTCTAGAGAAACTTGTTTGGGCAGTAGATGTAGATGTAGAATGTTCATTTCCACACTGCTGACTTCCTTAGAATGTTTATTACTACACAATGAAAAATTGATGAAAGAGGATAGAAGAATTCATGTTTATTTGCATTTTTAGACTTCATCCTGAGAAGATATGACTGAAATAATCTTTTTAGGAAAATAAAGATACCTAAAAATGATAGATATTTTTATGTAAGGGTGTACTGTGAATTTGATGAAAAGTTATACATGTTTAGATATTAATGTCACCAATATTGGTTTCTAATTTCCTTTCTAGTGAGGACTTGTGACATGATGAAAGATTACGAACTTTTTTTTTTTGAGCAGTTAACCTCTGCTTTACTACCAATTTATAGTCTCCACTACTTTTGTTTCAAGGAGTTTGAGGACTTATGGTTGTTGGTAACTGATCACAGTTATAGTTCTTTGATACTCTCATTTTTCTTCTAAACTTTTGTGAGTTTCTAGAAAATATTTACTCTTTCTTGTGCATAGTGCACCTCTCTACCTTAAAAAAAAACCTGAGCTTGCCAAGAATAATGCCATGGTTCAAATTCTCCAATGTTCATAAGGAGCAAACTTCTGAGTAACAGAACACTTCTAGACATACTGTCTGTAATATTTGTATAGACAGATTTCTAAGCCCTCAGGATGATTTAAAGAGTCTTCTCAGAGTTGACCCAACAAGGTATGACCTATATATGGATTCAGAAGGTTTGAGATTATGATCTTAAGTAACTAGTATAACTGCTTAATATTCATCTTTATAAAAATGAGGGATTATTTTTAGCAGATGAAGTTTGAAATTAATACCTCATTTTCTTCATTTCTTCATAGGTGGGTCATTCTAATCTGGGCATTAATGAGTCTTTTTCATTTTTATTGCCTTCATTTCTTCCACATAAGCCAAGAAGAGAGTCGGAATATCACTCTTCAGACCTCAGAATGTTGAGGATGTCTCCTGACACTGTGCCAAAGACTCCTAAACATTTAGCAGGTATGTAGAAAAAGGAGATAGTAAATGTTCCCCTTACGGCTACCTTGTGAAAATTAGACCTTGTTAGGTCTAATTTTTTATTTTTTAATATCTGTAATAATAATGCTTTAGGTTAGATGTGTTTATAAATCCTGTCTTAGTCTCTTCAGACTGCTATTACAAAAATAATACATACATTAAGTGTGGCTTATAAACAACTCAAATTTGTTTCTTGCAGTTCTAGAGGCTGGGAATTCCAAGATCAAGTGCTGGCAAAATCAGTGTCTTGTGAGGGCCTGTTTGTCAGAGATGACATGCTCTTCTGTGTCCTCTCATGGCGGAAGGGGAAAGGGATCTATCTGGAGTCATTTTTGTAATGGACACTAATCCCAAACATGAGGTCTCTCTCCTTATGATCTAGTTACCCCCCAAAAGCCCTACCTCCTAATTTCATCACCTTGGGCATTAGGATTTTAATCTATACTTTTCAAGGTGGGCACAAACATTCAGACCATCACAAATCCCCTAATTTATTAGAGGAATCATTTGGTTTTTCATCACATTCACATTCACGTGAAAGTATTCAGAACTGAATTATATGCAGGAGTCTGATATTAGAATCTGTTTATTCCTTTGTGTGACTTGAAGGGAAAAAGGAATTTATGGATCTCAAGATGACAAGAGTAGATGCAAATAAGTTTGTAGAGAGGAAATTGAGAGGAATGAATTTTGAGGTAAAAGCAAGATTATCTGCTTAGGGAGATGAGTAGTGGTGGAGGTAGGTGAGAGGCTTTGAGGAGAGTGGCTTGGTGAAAGACTTATAGTTTGTATTGAAGTGAATATGAGATGGTGCTGACTAAGGGAAAGCAGAAGGATTGGTAGGTAAGTCTGAGAAGTCAGATTAGGTTAGTAATAATGATTTAAAATGTTGTCAGCCTGTATAGAATCCCTAATTTTTTTTCCTACTGACACTGAGGAATGGATATGATGAATTATAGTTTTACATGCTCTGTTTCAAATAAAGTCATTCTCCTTATGGAGATACGTGGAGCTCTCTGTTCTTATGGCTCGCCTTTCCTGGGCAGAAGCTTCGCAGCACTGCTTTACATCTGGGGGCAGGTTCATTGGTCTACGTCTCTTGGACTAATACACCCCTTCTCTATGATCATGGTACTGAATGGGGTACTAGTTAATCTCTGTTCTTCTTAGACTGCCTCTCCTGGAGTGGACCCTCACTCCACCTACAAGTGAGCTGGGGTAGGGGTGATTAGAGCTTAGTATTCTTAACTTGGGATAAATCTTTCACTCTGTAAGTGGGGACAGGGTGGAGATAGGTTGCTTCTTGTGTTCTTTCTTGTGCACCCTTTCTCCCATGACATCCCTTCTGTTCTGCCTTGTTACCTTATGTATCCAGTTTTACCATTTTAAGTATTGGTTAAAATGATACATCTCATTTCTACCAGTAAGATCCTGAGCTCCTCAGTTATCATTTAGAATAGCATTGTGGTGTATGGTCTGATGTTAAGATTTGATATTATGTGCACCCTTGACATATGAAACTACGAGGTCCTCAAAGGACCTAACCACGAGTTTACCTGCTCTTACCAGATTACCCTCCAGTCAGTGGGAGAGGCTTCCTACACAGACAGTTCTTATATCAACGAGACCAACTTTATTTTACCTGGTATTCAACCAAATGGGTTTCAGTCCCATGCCACCCTGTGAAATTAGTCAAACAAGCCAGTCACATCCTCCTACAGAAATCAGAAATTACCCCTTTTCTTGGTGCTACAAGCCTACCTCTTATAGTATCTGCTGACTCATTCTGTTACCATGTACAACCCCTGTGTGGCCCTGCACGGCTTGGTGTCTTTCTTCCCCAGGCTGTGAGTATTTGTGACTAATAAACTACCATCAGTCTTCTCTGTCCAGTGTTGTATTTAGCCAGTCCAGAACCATCAGGCAGGAATCACTTCCTCATCAATAGGGTGAAGAGGAGGCAAATGAAAGAAATATTTATGTCCATGTTTGATTCATATTGTATTGAAATGGTCCCTTCATATTAGTTGCCCTGACTTCTTATTTTTTTATTGGCAAACCTCTGGGTCCTATGTCATAACAAGCATAAAGTGACCGCCGAGCTTCTCTTCAAATTGGGTTCAAAGTATGAGTCAAGATAATTTACATATCGGTTAAAGTGGCTACACTTAACAGAACTTGAAGAGTTTAGATTGCAGGATGAATTGGAAACAAGTTTGGATCTGGATTATTGAAAAAGAATTGGTGACACCATTAGAAACTAAGGTAGTCAATTTAGTTTTGGACCTACTGAGTTTGATTTGTCAGGAGATCATTTGGTTTGAAGTGTCTTCAAAGCCACTTGAACAAATGGGAAATGGGAAATACAACTTTGGAAGATCTTAAATAATTAATGATTAAAATTATGCCATAAAAGTAGTTAAGCTTTCTGAGGCAGCATGGGTAGAGAGAAAAGCAAAATGTCAAGGACAGAACCTCATGGAATGCAATAGCAGAAAGAGGCCAATTGGAAACACCAAAAAGAACAGATATTTTGTTTACATTCTTATTCTGATTTAGTTCTTACCCCTTCAGTTTCCATTCCTATTTCTTAGTACCTTTACCAGTATCAAACTGGATTTTGTTGCACATCCACTTAGCATTGCTACATCTTCTTGGTGGATAGATCCTTTATCAGTATGAAATATTCCTCTTAGGCCGGGCGCGGTGGCTCAAGCCTGTAATCCCAGCACTTTGGGAGGCCGAGGCGGGTGGATCACGAGGTCAAGAGATCGAGACCATCCCTGTCAACATGGTGAAACCCCGTCTCTACTAAAAATACAAAAAACTAGCTGGGCATGGTGGCGCGTGCCTGTAATCCCAGCTACTCAGGAGGCTGAGGCAGGAGAATTGCCTGAACCCAGGAGGCGGAGGTTGCGGTGAGCCGAGATCGCGCCATTGCACTCCAGCCTGGGCAACAAGAGTGAAACTCCGTCTCAAAAAAAAAAAAAAAAAAAAGAAATATTCCTCTTTGTCCCTAGTAATTTTCTTTGTTCTGAAGATTATCTTATATAGCTACTCCTACAGAGTAGTTTTTTTTCTTCTCCTCCTCCTCTTTTTCTTCTTCCTCTTCCTCCTCCTCTTCTTTCTTCTTCTTCTTCTTTTTTTTTTAAAGAGACAAGGTCTCACTCTGTTGCCCAGGCTGGATTACAGTGATATGATCTAGCTCATTGCAGTCTTGAACTCCTAGGCTCAAGCGATCCTTCTGCCTCACCCTCTGAATAGCGAGGACTTTAGTTGCACACCACCATGCCCAGCTAATTTCTTTCTTTCTTTTCTTTTTTCTTTTTCTTTCTTTCTTTTTTTGTAGAGACAGGGTCTTCCTATGTTGCCCAGGCTGGTTTTCAGCTCCTGGCCCTTTAAAGCCTGATCCTCCCCTCTTGACTGGGATTATAGGCTTTAGCCACCATACCTGGCCTCTTTATCAGTCTTTCACTTTCAACCTTCCTATGTCATTATTTTTGAAGTGAATTTTTTGTAGACATCATATAATTGGGTCATTAAAGAAAATGTACTATTTTTGTTTAGACAGTTTATACCTAAAGCTGATATTGATCTATTATGCTTTAGGTCTGCAATTTTATTATTTATTTTCACTTTATTCCTGTTTCTCTTGTCTTTCCTTATTATGGGTTACATGAACATAGTTTAGAATTTCACTAGAGTATTTTGAGTATGTTACTTTGTATAGTTTTCTTAGTGGTTGCTCTAGGCATTACAGTACACATACATAACTTATAATAGTCTACTGATACCAAATTTTAACCACTGTAAGTGAAGTATTATTAGTTCACTTTACCCTCCTTATTTAAAAAATACAGTTATTTAAATATTTCCTTTACATACACTGAGCATCACAGCACATGGCATTACAATTTTTGCTTCAGTCATCAAATATGATTTAGAGACTCATCAAAAGAGTGATAGTATTTTATATTTACCTTTATGTTTACGCATTCTGTTCTTTTTTAAATAAATTTTCAAGACTTTTTCTGCTATTTCCTTTGTGTTTGTAGAATGCAGCCATTCTTTGAGGGTGGGTTGATATGTGACAAATTCTATTAGTTTTCTTCTCTTGAAAATGTCTTTATTTTCCATTAATTCTTGAAGGATAATTGAACCAGATAGAATTCATGCTTTACAGTTCTTTTCTTTCAGCACTTAGAAAATGTTGTGCCATATCCTTCTCGCCCCCATATTTCCAGGTGGGAGATCAGCTGTCATTCAATTTGATGTTCCTTTATAAGTATGGCATTATTCCCTCTGCTTTCAAGATTCCTCTTTGTCTTTAGTTTTTAGAATTTCCTGTACGGTGGTAAAAATTTGATACCAGTAGACAGTTTTGTAGGCATGTGATTGTGTTGTGTCTTGGTGTGTACTTCTTTCTTTTTTCTTTTTTTAAAGATGGAGTTATGCCATGTCGCGCAGGCTAGAGTGCAGTGACGCCATCTTGGCTCACTGCAGCCTCCACCTCCTGGGTTCAAGTAGTTCTCCTGCCTCAGCCTCCCAAGTAGCTGGGATTACAGGTGTGTGCCACCATGCCTGGCTAATTGTTTTGTATTTTTAGTAGAGATGGGGTTTCACCATGTTGGCCAGGCTGGTTTTGAACTCCTGACCTCAAGTGATCTACTTGCCTTGGCCTCCCAAAGTGCTGGGATTACAGGCATGAACACTGTGCCTGGCCCTTGGTATGGATTTCTTTGGGTTTATTCTGTTTGGAGCTGACTCACCTTCTTTCATCTCTTAGTTTATATCTTGTCAGATTTGGGACATTTTCAGCCTTTATTTCTTTGAATTTGACTCATCTTTTTTGCATCATTTGATTGTCCCCCTCCCCCCCCACTCACTTGCTCGCTCGCTTGTTCTGGCTCTCGTGCTTGCTCTTTCTCTGCTTACTGCAACCACCACCTCCCAGGTTCAAGCAATTCTTGTGCTTCAGTCTC